CTCCCTGCCAAAACTGCTCTTTTTGGCGCCACAGTATGAAATAAAATAAAGCTATTTTTATTTGTTTGAACGCCAGAAACTCAACTTGATGGAGGGAACTTGATCGTTGTACAGGCATCGTGGCCCAAGCAATAAATGGCTTAGGTCTGTGTCGGGATGCCGGTGTTTATGGGTTGGCAAACTTACTGGCCTCATTGCACAGATGTTGAAAAAAACCAAAAAAACAAAACAGGATTTTTTGTTTGTTTTTTAACACCCGGCGCATTTAACAGTGTAATTTGCCCGTCTAACCAGGCAAAATTTTACCTGTCCTGAATATAAACCTAAAATTCTTCAGCTATGCTCTTAATGCTATGTTGGAGTTGTTTTTCTAGATTGCTAAATTTGATGCTCTACATTTTTTCTGTTTTTGTGAACTCATAAAGACTGTCATTTAGCCACTATTGAGAGTGGTGCTGTTTTTTTTTTTTTTTTTTTTTTCAGTAAAGACCATATCGTGAAATATTATGTGATCCCTTTCTAAATGCTTTCTGTTTTACTCTTGGTTAAATATGTATGCTATTGCCTAACAAAACCAAGTTGCTTAGTGCTTTTTGGAGGGTTGTTTTGTTTTTTGTTTTTTGTTTTTCGAGACAGGGTTTCTCAGTGTAACAGCTCTGTAGACCAGGCAGGCCTTGAACTCACAGAGATCAGCCTGCCTCTGCCTCCCAAGTGCTGGGATCAAACGTGTGCACCACCACCACTGGGTGTTTTTTGTTGTTGTTGTTATTGCTTAGTGTTTTAGTGTTGACTTACTTTCCCTGATTCTCTGAAAAAAATTATTTATTTATCTCTTAATCTCATACTAGCTTCCAGTAATTGCCAGTATTCTTGGCTTAACTGTCATGTAACTTTATACGTCTCCTACCTCCCAGAGAAGCAGGTGTTCAGTGAAGGGAGAAGGCAGTGTGGTCCAGCTAAGGGATGCTAAATTGAACTTTATACCAATCTTCAGTCATTATGTTTGTAGAATATGATAAATATTGGATAAAGTCCAATTAAAAACATATCTCTGCTAAGGTACTTGCTCTGTTTGCAAACTAAGACTCATTTGCAGCTAGAATGGAACCCCTCAGTGCAGCTAACAGTTTCTCCTCTTGGACTTCTCACCTCATTTAAATTAAATCCCTCCTCTTTGTTCCTTCTTTCTCTCTTTTATGAGTATATGTGTAACTGAATGTTATATGCAGCACATGTGTGTAGGTGCCATCAGAGGTTAGAAAGTAGCATCAGATCCCCTGGAACTGGGGTTATAGAGCCCTGTATTGATGATGGGTTCCAAATCCAGGTCCTCTAGAAGAGCAGCAAGTGCTCTTAACCACCAAGCCATCCGTCCAGAACCTGCGCCCGCACCCCCCCCTTTGTTCTTGCTCATGCTGTGGTTTTACTCCTTGTAGAGCAGTTTTGTTTACAAAACTGTTTTGTTTTGTTTATCTGTCCCTTGGGTCTCTGCTTCTTTCACTTGTGAGGATAGTGGTTTATGCCTGGTAGATGTTAGGAAATTGATGCTGAAGTAGGTTTAGGATTTGTGATATGACTGCACATGTGGAAATGAGATAGGCTCCTTACTTTTGTAAATACATGTTTGAGAGAGATGCAAGAGAGTGAAATAGGTGCAGTACAGTACATGTCCTTAATGCTCCTTTTGTCAGTTTGTTTAGCTTTTCTACATCCTTAATGACTGCTTTTACTGAAGTCCATCATCCATCATTTTCCTATGTTAATAAAACAAAGCAGGAAAACTTTCCTCCAATGCCCAATCCTAAAGCAAACCACTAGTCATGTTAGAACTGTCAGTCTGACTAATAGTATGCTTTGCTATGCAGCAAAGTGTGTATGTATGTGTGTGTATGAGGGGGGGTGCATATATGCTATAGCATGCATGCGGAGGTCAGAGAACAACTCCTGGGAGTTGTTCTTGCATATGGAGGTCAGAGGACCACTTGTGGAGTTGGTTCTTGCCTTCCACCTTGAGGCAGGGTCTCTTTTGTTTCTGTAGCTGCACTGTATATTTTAGGGTAGTTGGCCCTTGAATTACTAGGCAATATTCCCATCTCTACCATCTCACAGTCGTAGTACTTGAATTACATATGTGATATGTGTGCTGCTGGATCCAGCTGTAGGCTAAGTTTTTCTGTGTCCCTGCAGTCACTCTGAAATAACGATGAGACTTAATACTAATTATAAATGCTTGGCTTAGACTTGTCCAAGCCAGTTCTTCCAACTCAAGTTAACGCATTTCCATTGATCTGTGGGCTGCCCAAGGCTCGTTTACCACGGGTCTATGAACTTGCCATGTTGCTTCTTTCACATCTGCATGGGGACTCCTCAGGCTCCACCCTTCTTCCCAGCATTCTCTCTGCTTCCCAAATCCTGCCTATCTATTGGCCAATCAGCTTTTTTCTTAACAATGAGAGCAACACATTTTCACAGTGTACAAAAGGGTTATTCCACAGCATCCAGCCTGTTGAAGAGGTTCCAGGTATCCAAACTGGGGTCTTTAGGCTTGGCTGACAGTGCTTTCCCCCACTGAGCCTCTGCTCTAGCCCCAACGCCATTGATTTCTAAAGCACATGTTTTACATAACTGTAACGGGTAATTCATCTACAGGTAAGATTGGATTCATATTTTATTTTGTGATTGCAGTGTGACCAAAAGCTAGGTGGTTTATGAGTAAAGGATCTTTTTTTTTTTTTTGTTAAATTGTGTGCAAAGCTTGAATAGCAAAGATATAATACCATCCTTTCTTTCTCTTTTGTAACCTAGATTCAAGATGAATAGTGACCAGGTGGCACTGGTGGGACAAGTGTTCGAGTCCTATGTTTCAGAGTACCATAAAAATGATATTCTTCTGATCTTGAAGGAAAGAGATGAAGACGCTCACTACCCAGTTGTGGTTAATGCTATGACCCTTTTCGAGACCAACATGGAAATTGGAGAGTATTTCACTGTGTTCCCCAATGAAGTACTAACTGTTTTTGACAGTGCGCTTCGAAGGTCAGCCTTGACAATTCTACAGTCCCTTCCTGAGCCTGAGGGGTTTTCTATGAAGCAGAATCTTCATGCCAGGATATCAGGTAAATCATGAGACGATGTTAGTGGCATACAATATTCTGGGAAGATGTGTAAAATATATAATACATATGTGACTCAGAGCATTAGCAAGTAATTGTAATTTGAGGGCAGGCCAGATTGGCTTAGCAGATAAATGTGCTTACTGCCAAGGTTGACAACCTGAGTTTGATCCCTGAAACTCGTGTGATTGGAGAGAACTGAATCTCAAAATTTGTTTTCTTCCATCCACATGCACACTGGCATTTGGACGGACACACACACACACACACACACACACACACACACTAAATAAATAAATAAATCTAAAAAGAATTTTACAAAATAGTTGATGTTTATTCTTAAAATAGGTATCTTCTATATGGTACATGATGATTGTCTTTTGGGACATGAGATACTTGCCATGCCAACAGCGGGGAGGGAGGGAACATGGAGACATCGGTGTACTTGTGTCTGAGTATTTTTTTGTGTGTATAAAGTTATCTAAAGCAGATTTATGAGCTTTTGTGACAAGTAACAATAAAATATTGGTAATGTGTGAATTAGAAAAGATCCTGCCCAGGGATCTTCAGAGCTCTTTTATAAAATTGTTCTTATACGTCACGATGAACATCATGATACTCGGCTTCCAGGAACTTAATACATGGATGTTGAGTACATGCTTTTGATTTATTTAGTGGTGACTAAATGAATTGATTTGATGTGTGACAGGTGGCAGTAGTTTGTCCACTAAGTGTAGTTAGTTGTATATTTAGAGGCTACTGAGAGCTTTCTTGTGAGAATCAGTTAGTTCTTAGTCCCACTTGTAGCTTCTAGAGATGTGCTTTCAAAAGAGACCATTGGTTTCTGTTGTCTGAAATTCTTAATTGGGTTGATGATCTGATTTTCCAAAGTAAGACACAAACATGGTCAAGTGCTTGCCACACAATATGAAGGCCTGAGTTTGGTCCCTTAGCTTTATATATAATGCCAGATATGGTGGTGAGTATCTGTAATCCCAGCACTCCAAAGCAGAGGCAGGAGAGTCGCTGGCGCTTGCTGACCAGCCATTCTCATGGAATTGGTGAATTCCAGGTTCAGTGAGAGACATGGTCACAAATACCACATAAATAGTTCAGGAAGATGCTGAACATGAATATCTGGTCTCCACACATGGGCACCTACCCACCTACCCACACACAGTAAAGTTAAAAATAAGACATAAGTTTTTCCCCCTAAAACTATGTTGTTTATATTTTCTGGGAAAGATATAACATTTTGCAGAGTCAGTTATCAAAATATAAGTTGTTGATGTTATTTTTCCATTAGGTTTGCCCGTTTGTCCTGAACTGGTACGAGAACACATCCCTAAAACCAAGGATGTGGGACACTTTCTTTCTGTCACTGGGACAGTGATTCGAACAAGTCTGGTGAAGGTGCTGGAGTATGAGCGGGATTACATGTGTAACAAATGCAAGCATGTGTTTGTGGTGCAGGCTGACTTTGAGCAGTATTACACTTTCTGTCGGCCATCTTCATGTCCCAGCTTAGAGAGCTGTGATTCCTCAAAATTCACTTGCCTCTCAGACATGTCTTCATCTCCAGCCAGATGTCGGGATTACCAGGAAATCAAAATCCAGGAGCAGGTAAATAATCGAACCAGATGGAAAAAAAAAACACACACAAATTTGGAGGTTCTATTTTGTACCAGAGCCAAATGGCTGGGATTGGAGAATACAGAATGGAAACAAATTACCCTGTGCCTTCACCTTGTGGAAGATCAAAGTCAAAGTTGTCAAACATGTATCAGAATATATGTTTTGGAAACCATGAAATAATCTTTGTTTTAGAGCACTGATGAGATTTTTAGAACCACTTAATATTAAAATTTTGTCACTTAAGTCGGTTTGAATATTTATTTTATCCATCTACAATGTAGATTATGGTTAGAGATATTTTCCATATTTGGTGTTTTAGCTTTATTCTACTTTAATGAATTCTTATTTTTTAAGTTTTATTTTTATGTCTGTGTATGGGTCTCTGTATGTGGGTGCCCACAGATGCCTGAGAGTGGTGGATCCTATGGAGCTGGAGTAATAGGTAACTGTGACACTGGTCAGCTGGGAGACCAGTTGAGACATCTCTCCAGCCCTAGTGTTAGTGAATTCTTTGTTTTTTCAAGACAGGGTCTCACTACGTAGCCCTGGCTGTCCTGGAACTCACTATGTAGACAGGCTTGCCTTGAGATCCAGTGAATTCTTAAACTGCTATTAGTCATCATTTTCAAGAAGAAAATTCCTTAAGTCCTATCAAATCAAATTACATGATTACCATCAGAGAAATGGAGCCATTTCAGGTCCTACTGCATCTTGGATACATAGCATCTAGTTAAGCAAACTCATGTTTATCATTATGCTTTCTTTGGTAGGTCCAAAGACTGGCTGTTGGAAGTATTCCGAGATCTATGAAAGTTATCCTGGAAGATGACTTAGTAGACAGTTGTAAGTCTGGTAAGGAGTTATTTTCTTGCTTTTGAGACATTTCTGTGTAGCTCCCATTAGTCTTTAACTCTTGGGCTTGAGTGGTCCTCAGCTCCCTCCCACCCCCAATAGCTGGGTCTGCATATGGCCAGCAAAAGTAAACTTTTGGTAGTGTATACAAAGTTCTAAGTCATTTGTTTTCCACAAGATGACTGACAAGGGATGAGGGCTTTACATGTTCATCCTGTGAAGTGGGGCTAGGAGAGGGAGGGAGGTAAGAGCTGAACTGGACCTTACCAGTCTATCCCTGCCGCCTGCTTACTGACCAGAACTACTTTTAAAGAGTGAAGTGGCAGAACTGGAGCAAAGGTCCAGATCACTGACTTGTGATCCAGTGCTCTCATCAGTGGGTCATGTTTAACAGTGTCATCTTAACAAGGGGGCTCGTGGATGTGGTAGACAAAGGATGCAGGATGTGCCTGTCAAATGCCACTAAATACACAGTGATGCTGATTTTGAAAACGATTATTTTTTAGTAGAGAACAATATGTTTCCTTATAATTCACTGAAACTGAATTATGTCTGCACTGAAATCTTAAGCTCTATTTCTTTCCATTGCCATTAATAATAAAGATAAAAGCAGTCTGTTAACAGCCATTGGTTTCATTACCCAAAGCTAATTTCCTAAACCTAAGAAACCAAAAGGTAGAAATAGTTTAATCCTTGCCCTCCAGGAATTACACTCCTCAGAGCAGTGAAGTTGATGATAGTGCTGACAACTGACTACAGATGTCCACAAGACTAAAGCTGGTGGAGAAGGGAGTGGTACACAAAGGGATTGGAATGTTTAAGTGGAAGATCTGTAGCTACATGGACAGTTTGCATATTAACTATAGAAAAATACAAACATTTTAAATATTCTGTTACTGTGAACTTCACAATTGCAATGACATGAATCTATCATTTGATAAATATTTGTGTGTATGAAAACATTGTGTATTTTCAGTGCTCTGCAAATACAAGTTAATTTTATTACAATAATAGCTAATACTTACTGAGATTCCATTTATATATATTTTATAATCTAATTTTCATTGACAATTCAGTCAGATAATTTGCCCAAGAACAGTGGCACTAGGATCTACATCCAATCCAACAATAATAAGATTACTACGTTATTCTTGGCCACTCTTCATTACTCTGCATTTTCCATATAATCAACTGTTGACTGAAGTCTGCTTTTTACTAATGGGTACTATATCTACAGTTAAGTTCCTCATTTAATGAATGTGGAAACTTCAATAAAATTCATTAGAATGAAGATAATAAGGGGATGTTTCGGGTAAGTGTTCATGTAAACTTATTCCAGTAATTTTCACCTAAAATGTTAAGAGGAAATACAGTAAAATGCCATTATTCCAGGTTGACTTTGACAGGCATCAAGCATTCCTTATGAAAGCTCTCAGAAACACATATGTAAAACACATATTTATTGTATTTGTCTATCTGCATTTTGCATTATGGTGCATTTAGCTAGAAATGTGCCTGGTAGTATGTGCAGTAGCACCAATAATTTTATGCAGTTAACTCTAAGGAAGCCGGGCATTGGTGGCGCAAGCCTTTAATCCTAGCACTCGGGAGGCAGAGGCAGGTGGATCTCTGTGACTTCAAGGCCAGCCTGGTCTCCAGCCAGGATAGGCTCCAAAGCTACACAGAGAAACCCTGTCTCGAAAAAAAACAAAACAAAACAAAAAAACAAAACAACAACAACAAAAAAAAGCACTAAGGAGCCTTTCTCCAGGAAATCAAAAGCTCTGCAGATTACATATTCCTCATAGACTTAGAGTGAAAGGCATTATAAAAACATGTGTGAGAATCTGCCTACCGGGAATAGGTTTTCCTCAGGTAGGAAGGAGCAAGTTGGTTGTTACTTTCTGCTTTGAAGTAGAATTGGTATCCATTAATTCCTTCATTCCTTCATTGAAAAAAGCAGGAGACTGTGAGTAAAATATTAGCAAAAAAGTAAAAACTAACCACAAGAAACTACAGTACATGCCAGTCAGCACAAGGTTGTCTCCTTTCCCAATTCCAAGTTAATGCAGTTTCACTTTCTGGCTGATTAGTCTCTTAAGAGAATGAAAATGTCCAATGAACAGTGATAAGTAAATCATCCAGTACACTATTCCCAGTAAGGGGTAATAATTGTGATTATTACATCCAGATTTCAAAAACTAAAACTGCTGACTTTTGACCTTAACTATTCTGAAACAATTACTTGTTGGGGGTTGAGGATATGGATATGGGGTGTTTTGTCCTAAACTTGCTAATGTACTCATGTGTTACTTTTCCTTAGGGGATGACCTCACTATCTATGGGGTTGTAATGCAAAGGTGGAAGCCCTTTCAGCGAGATGCACGCTGTGAAGTGGAGATTGTCTTGAAGTCCAACTATGTCCAAGTGAATAATGAGCAGTCCTCGGGGATGGTAATGGATGAGGAAGTTCGAAAAGAATTTGAAGACTTTTGGGAACACTATAAGAGTGATCCCTTTGCAGGTTTGTGACAAACATAATTGATGGCATTCAACTTAGTAGTTAAATGTGATGTGATCTGCAGACAGCTTATATGGTGTGCAGGTCAGTGGCTTTCTTCAAGGGGTGTCATTAGTTAGTGTCTCTGACAGCAGGCTTTCATCCAAGTCCATTTCTGGCATTTTCTGTTGTGTGTGGTGTGTCTGTGCAATTCTGTGTGCATTAATTATGTGTGCATATGAAAGCCAGAGGTCAGTCAATCTTGTGTTATTCCTCAAGGACCATCACCTGTGTGTCTGTGCTCCCCCACCCCCACCAAGTTGGCTGACTCAGGTAAAAGGCTCATAGATGTGCTGCAGTGGGCCCCAGTGATCACTTCTCCCCCCCCCCCCAATACAGGGATCATAAGCATGAGCCACCATATCCAGCTTTTTATGTGGATGCTGGGGATTAAACTAAGGTCAGTCCTCATGCGTTTATGCATCACATACATTGATTTCTAGCACATTCTGAAATAAAGATAACTCACTGTTAGCTTAGGATTTAAAGTAGGGAGTAAATGGAAAAGACTGATGGAGATCATGCATTGAACACATCATCTCGGCAGTAATTCTGACTGTGAACATACCATGTATTACATGAAATAACACACCATAGCCTTGGGTTTGTAGAGCATGCTTTTTATTAGGAAAAAAAAAACCCACATGCTTAAGACATGCATTAAATCTTTCTTTTCATTTTTCTTTGGAGGTATCCTGAGAAAAATATTTGCCTCCAATCTAACGATTATTATTTGCAAGTCATAAACTGACCTAGACACTTATTTTACAAAATAAGGCTTTCATTTGTCTATAGGGCAGTTTGCTTCTATTTTGTGCAATTTTTTTTTTTAATATTCCATGTGTAATTCCTTGGACTTTATTTGATGAGGTTCATAGAAATGAGCCCAGATCTCACACTGTGGCTTGACTAAGCAAGCACTTTACGAATCATACATTTTTAAGTGCAGTTTTTGACTGAACAGGTCTTTAGAAGGATGTATAATTCTTTTTTGACTGTGTTCATTCCTTATTCTTTCCAGTGCCAGAGCTCATCTGCCTTCATTACACCCTACTTCCCCCCCAAGAGAGACCCAAATTCTTTGTGTTGATGAAGGTCTGTTTTGTAATTAGAAAACTGTAGCTATGTAACTCATCTGTCAGATAAAGGACAAAATACATATAATAGTTAGGGAGACATCGTTTAAATCAGAGCCCCTTCTTATTTTCCTAGATACAGGTGTGTTGTATTTGACCATTCTGAAGTGCTATGTATGTGTCTTGCTGGAATGGAGAAAGCTATATCCAAAGGGCATCTTTCCTTTGCACTCCAATGCTGCTCCTCTTGGGGTTTGACTTGCTACTTGAAACTGTGGGAACTGCCTAGGCTGAGCCACAAGTGGCTTTGTTCTGATCTGCAGGGAGCCTGGCACTAGGTGCTAGACAGAATCCCAAACACAGTACTTGGGTCTGTGGAGCCATTTGAACTCATACTGTGCTAACTGAATTATCTTAAGGTGACTAAGGGCAGTTAAGTTTAAGTAGGAAACTTGACATAGACACTCTAATAACATGGTCTAACACTAGAAGTTTAGAAGGGACTGAATGCACTGTGTTCCATGATAAAGCCATGGCAAATGGAGACAGGAAAGCTGAGGCTGTCAACCAAGATGCTCTGGGACCCATGTGTAGGCTGGACACTAAAGCCTGTGCCCTTTACCATTGCTGCAAGACTTCTGCCAGCATGTGATAGTTTTTGGCCTAGCTTACGTACTCTTAAACATGTTTCTTGGGTCCACTCTGTTTTTATGTGTAACCCTTGGATTTTAGTCAGAACCTCAAGTCTTCTTGCCTAAGAGCTCTGACTTTTTTTTCTAGGATTTCTATCTAGAAAGGAAAAGGTTTCCTCTAGTAGTTAATGTACTTCCTAGATTTACTGCATCTTCCTTCTGGCTTCCTGCTAATTGAAGGATTCCTTTCTTTGCTATTCCTGCTGTTCTGGGCTCATCAGTATCAATTATTTGACACTGAGTCAATATTGAGCCATTACTGGATGGGAAGTAGCTCAACAGCTGGTTGTGTTCCCCAAACCAAAAACTATTCTGATTCATTTCAAACAGTAGCCTTTTACATGGGGCTATCAACCATGGGAAGGCTCGGGGAAGACTCATTAGAATCTTGTAGACTGACCAGACCAGTGACTGGATGAAATACTTTATTTATGAATACGCTAAAGTGAGTCCCAGATGTTGTGCTTTTATTGAAAGCACACAATTAGACTTTCAAGATCTTCACCTTGGATTACTGGGGTTATAGTCTGCAATGATCTTAATATGCTAATACATAACTTACTCCAAATAAAACAATTTCCCAAGCAATCAGAACAAATGCCAAGTCAACTTGCAAAGTGGATTGGCTTTACTTCTTTCTCTTATACTTTCAGAAGCTCCAGGAGCTTCAGCTTACCTCTTTAAAAAAAGTTAGATAATTTCCTTTTAACTAAGTAGTGGGATACTTAGTGACCTTTAGTGACCTTACAGAGGACATATGACTTTGTTATATTAAGGAGTGAGGCTTAATAGCTAAATGTTGAAAGAGAAGGAAACTACTTTGTTTTAATTCAGTATGACAAATTTATAGAATCTTGAGTAGGTGGCATGGAGTCATGGGAGCGATGAGGGGACAGGACACTCTTTTCATGGCACTAAATTTAGAACCTAAAAAGGTTAGTGAGATATGGTGCCATATACCTATAATCCTAACACTTGGGAGACTGCACATTTGGAACCAGCTTTGGCTACTTTGTGGAACCGCCTCAAAAAACAAAACAAAACAAAACCACCTAAATAAAACTACTCACACTCTTTCCTCATTTTACTTGGCCTCCTTTGTCCTTTTAGATTGGCACAGAGTATGTTTATAAGAAAACGGCTGCAGGATAGGGAGATTTCAGTTAGAGTTTCTAGAAAACCTGTTGATAACTCCTGATCTTTCTTACTTCCCAGGGAGGAATGAAATACTGGCCAGCTTATGTCCGCAAGTATTTGGGATGTATCTAGTAAAGCTTGCTGTGGCCATGGTGCTGGCTGGTGGAATTCAAAGAACTGATTCTGCAGGAACAAGGGTCAGAGGTCAGTACCTGCTGCCACATTTTGGGAAATACTAACATAGAGGGGATGAGAGACCCTTTCTTTCTTCAACAAAAACTGCTTATTGGAAGGTGGGAGTGGTGAGTTATACTGATGCATATGTTTGAAAATACCAAAATGAAGTACATTACTTTGTATGCTAACTGCCTGTAGTTTCTCAGACCTGGATTTTTCCATATACCCTATATCCATATTTATCAGAAACTAGGTTCTCTAGTTCCAGGAAGATAAAAGAAATCACTAAATTTTCAGTGATTATATACTACAAGCCTGTAAAGTACCACAAAATTGGCTCCCTTGTCTCCAAAAAAAGGAGTGAGAGATTAGAAATGGTGTCTTAGTGTCTCCAAGTTGGTCTCCATCTGTGACTGTGGACTGCTGCTCACAGTCGTCTGCCTGCTGATTCTCCTGCTGGTAGACAGCAGACAAGCCATCTGCCAGGAGTTGCTGCTGTAGGTCACATTCAAGCAGAGACTACTCCAAGTGCAACACTGATGGCAGACAACTGCAGAAAGCATGGCACACACAGGGCTGTTGATAACCAGAGCTGACCCAAAGACTAAAAGAGCAATACTCTAAGCCAGGTTGTTAGCAGAACTCTAAGACCATATAGTACAGTAACAAATAAACAGAAACACTTTATAAATTGTATATCTTGATCATCTGTTATCTGAAAGGCACTTTGTTAAACGTTAAGCTTAAATAATGGTTTCTTATTAATATATTTAGAAAATACTTACTACTAAAGAAATTTGTTTGTCCAGTATAAGTATTTACCATAGGCTAGGCTTGTCCATTTATGTTAAATGGGAAAATTGAGTTCTTAATAATTTTAAGGTAGATACTTCACTAAGCTATGAAAATTTACATAAATGAAAATGTTTTTAGTTAATATAATCATAATGATTTGATATGTATAAAGCACTTATAAAATCCCCAACATTTAGAGGTATTTTAAAAAACAGAAAATCTTGTAGGACTTATATGATAGGATAGCTTTAATCACAGTAGTTTGGATTTAAAAATAAGACAGAAAAACAGAAAGTTGTTATAAGTCAAGGTTTTTAAAAATGTTAAACATGGGCCTCAGCATCTGGAAATAGCACAAACTCTATTAAAAGATTTAAAATTTTCATTGTCACATTCAGTAACCAAAAATTGCTGTATTAGTGACAGACAACTAACTTTTCTAAGGAATTCTTGTTAACTCCTTCCTGAAGAACCTTGCATAAAATTTATCAAAATGCCATTTAAAATGTGTTGGCATTTAATATGGGTCACTTTCTCTTTTATTAGCTATATTGTGTTCACAGATCTTTTAGGAATTCTGAACCTTTACACATTTTTTTCCTAGGTGAATCTCATCTTTTATTGGTTGGGGATCCTGGCACAGGTAAATCGCAGTTCCTCAAATATGCAGCAAAGATTACACCACGGTCTGTATTGACCACAGGAATTGGATCTACTAGTGCAGGTACTGTGTGTGTGACAATTTTAAGTAAATTAAATTAACATTAATACAGAAACTAACACAATTATTTTCTTATGAAAATTTACCTGTTGTAGGATTCATTTCAAGTAGTTACTTTAAGTTACTGCCAAAAATTGAAGGAAATCTAACATCCATTTGTACTATTAAGAAAGTGTTGAAAAAAGGTTCATGTCCTCTGTATGGAACTTAGTTTTATGTAGGAAAATGTAAAGATATTATTTTATAAAGATCTACCAAGCACATCAAAATAGTGAAATTCATGTTTAAAAGTAGGTAGGTGGCATATAGCTTAAGGCATTTTCATGGAAAACAGTGGCTCCTAATGACACCTCTTAGATTTGTTTATTTAGAAAGTATATGTTCACATATGTACTATCAGAGATTTCATTCGTACACTGTAATAATACTTTAGCAAATATATTTAAAAGCTTTCACAGACAGACTCAATATCTTGTTATAAAGTGACAGGAAATTTAGGAGAAATTATTTTTAAAATGTGTCTTAGTGTTTTCTATTTTTACAGTTTTGATAATTTCTCCTGTTCTTCTAGAAATAGGGCTTCGGTTTCACATTTTTTGTAGGTGCTGTATTAAGATAGTCTCATTTCTATAGTCTCAGAGTTCTGATGAGACACTTATAAAGCTCATCATAAAAGTAAGCATCCCAATAGTCCCATCTAAGGACTTTAAACACTATTACCAACTGCTGAAAAGATGCGATCTGTGCAGTAAGAACACAGAAGAGAAGGAGTAGTCTGTAAAGAGTGCTGCCTGTACATTTTAAAATCCTTATGGCCCAATGTGTTCTACATGCTAAAGTCAAGAAGACACTAATTACATGAAATGATTCCTAAGCAGTTATGAGGAGTGTTATGAGAAACAAGCCCATACCATCTTGCAGGCAACTATTAATGTCAGACTATTAATGGCTTCAAAGTGTTAATGATAATGTAAGGTGAATTAGCACTTTTCCTTTGTTTTCAATGTTGAGATCATAATCTAAATGTGAGAAAAAAGATCAGTAAAGATTTTGTAACTGTAGAAACTTATTGCTACATTTTCCCCACTCCAAAGATGTCAGTAGCCTTTCGCCATTCTTTGGCAATCCTTTAGTCAGGCTGCACACAATAAAGCATAGCAGCAAAGGGCCATGTTCACGAAAATTTTTTTCATATAAATGCATATTTGTGTTGCAGGGTCATACTATATCTCTGTGGATTGTGATATAAAACTATGCCATAGCTTTTCTTTTCCTTAAATTCTATATTACCTTTCATTTATTTTGTGTGTGCATATATGGAGGTTAGAGAATAACTTGTGGGAGTTAGTTTTCTTCACTGTGTGAATTTCAACATGTGAATCCTGGGTATTAAATTCAAGTAGTCAGGCTTGGCAGCAAGCACTGTTACCTGCCATAGACTCTCTTAGTAAAACTAGACCTTAAAACTAAAAGGCAAAATAATAATAGAAAATTAAGGATCAGACAAGGTTTTGCATGAGCAAATGCATGCATGCCTCCTCCGTTTCTGGAGTGGTTCTTTAACTCAAATGATAACTTCACAACCTACTCACCTAGCTCTTTACTGTTGTGAATGGACAGACAGTGTGTGTGAGAGAGAGAGAGAGAGAGAGAGAGAGAGAGAAAGAGAGAGAGAGAGAGGCTTGTATGTAGGAAATGGATCTGGGTGTGGTGGCATACACATTTAATCCTAACACTCAGGAGGTAGAGGCAGGCGAATCTCTGTGAGTTGAAGGCCAACCTGATCTATATAGCGTGTTCAGGACACCCAAGACTATAAAGACAGACCCTATCTCAAAAAAAATAAAATAAAATAAAATAAAAAAAGGAAAAAGGGGGTCTGGGGATGGTATCTACCTTTTAGATGTAATTCAGACATATCTGTAAATGAGGCTAAATAGGGAAATCCCTACATGTTAATTTCTTAATGCTTAATTTAAATAGTTCTGTTATTATTCATTTATTTTTTATCTTTAAATTCTACAAAGCAGTAGCATTTAAAATAGTAAAAGGCAGTAGTTTATGTCTCAAACTTTTGTGACAATGGGTTATACATTTAAAAATTGATACAAAGACCTAAACATATGTCATTGCAAAGTGGTTTTCATAATCAGAATAAATACTCCAGTGAATTGCTTTACTTGGTGATTTTAGTTTATGTTTTATTTCTAACAAACTTATTCCTACTGTATTGCTCACTGAACTCTTGTTTTAACATTTTCTCCTAATTGTAATGAGACAAAAATGAGATTTTTCTTTTCAAATACTTTTAGAAGTATTTTATTTTTAAAATCTATGAACTGGGTTTTGTATAATACTATAATAATCTGGAGTATTAAATTTCAAAGTTTAACATTTAACAAGACTTGTTTCACAAATTCACCTTTTAAAATAGCAAGAAATATATACAACTTAAGAGTCTATTTAAACAAATGCCTTATCCTTTCCTCAAAATGCTTTTAAAAGTGCAGTATAAAACTCAGATGTGAAGGCACTGCATAACTTGAATCCTATGGCTATCCTGCTTATCATCAGCACATGTCAAATGAAAATATTCTACTGTAAATTTAATGGAGCCAAACCTTAACAAAGTACCTATCTCTCAAAGAAAATAAGCTTTTGGCCCATTTATTTGGTAAATTCCTTTCTAAAATTGTTCTTCAACTGTCTGGAAATCGGTCTAGAATATGTCAACTACAGATGTGCCCTGATCTTATCATTTTAATGAGAAGCAGAGGATATGGGGTATTGTAGCTGTGAACCTAAGACATACTTCTGAAGGTAGCCAGCCTAATAGGATAAAGCTAAGTAGACCTTTCTAAATTACCTTTCTGTAGCAACAGTGCCAAAAACACATGTTCGGAGTTTCTATAAACTGAATAGCAGATCTGAGCCATTATAATCTAATCTTATACTTTAGAAACCTTGCGTTTATTCTCACCATGTTGAAATCTTTGGACAATGATTTATGATCATGGTTTCTCAGTTTTAGAAGTAGGGAAGCATAAGCCATAGTCAGAAGGACTTCAAAGGTAGCCGCATTTATTACATAGAAACCAGAAGTCCAGTGTTAACACAAGCTGTGGTGGTAGCCACAAGACACACTGGGGTGGCCTAGAAAAACCTTGGTGGCTACAGTTGATTTCAGATTCCCTTTTTAAAGACATCTCTCTTTTTTTTTTTCTTTTTACTACAGTATGGAAGTTTGCTCCTTAAATTGAAAGGACACTGTCTTCACAGGAAAAAGCATTTTAGTTGAAGTAAACTTTGTTCTTTTAAAGGCTAGTAAAAAGTATTACTGTCCAAGAGGCTAAAACACCTTCACAACCTGGTCTAATAATTGATAAGTTTTCTTTTTATAAGTGCTTTAATTACATATAAAGAAGAAAATAATATATATATACTTTAACCAGATTAGTTTCATGAACAAATAAAATAACACATTAGAGAAAGAAAGTACTTAAAAATAGTTGTATTTATATTCCACAATTTGCTCAAATACTGGTTTTCTTATAAACTTTCTACAGGATGTTTTTAAACAAATTCTCTTCACATTTCACCTTGACTATGTACTTACGGAACTTCAGGGAAATAGTTCTGTTTTTAATAGCTTAATCTGTACTACTGGGATGGCACCTGGTCACATGCAGTCCATGTGGGATTCTAACATGACATTCAGTGAGTTTTCTGACGTGGACCATCCCTTTGATGCTGAAGGTAATGCATCTGTTGAAAGAAGGGACTGTAGATTTGGATTACTGCTCTCTGCATCTTCCAGTTTTTCTGTGTTATCTTCCCAGTTAATGTGGAATCTTGTGACTCTGGGATTAGATGCCAAAATATTTCTTTGAAGCTAGAAAAGAAACATTTAAATGATGAGCACCAGGAAAGTTAAGATTACCATATGCAAACTGAGTGGCTCTGGCAGTCCTTTTAAAGGACTAAATTCATATGCAAATGTATCAGCAAGTGAAGCACTTAAACCTAACTAATAAGCAAGGACTACAATAGCAAATAGCAAAAGAACTATTCCCCCTTGGAAACAAGGTAAGAAAAAAATCCATCTAGATCTTCCAACCTCCCCGCCCCCAACACACAAAGTACCTTGCTTTTATATTTCTGCTTCTTAAAGGATAATGGAAGGGAGGTACTTCTGCACACCCTTTAAAGGATGTTTTTAGTTAAATAAGCATGCCTTTAGCCTAATGTGTTTTCAGGCTGGGAACATAGTGCAAAAAAAGTACTCTGGCTAAGTCCCTAGGTTCAAATAAGCACCAAGAAATAAAACAAAAAACAAGACTTGAAAATTTTCCTCAAATAGAACCTCTAATTACTGGGATCTTAACTGTAATGTATTAAAATTCATTTTTAGAAACAGTATTCTAGTGTTTTGTTTTGTTTTGTTTTCTGCTATACAAAGGTTCTACTAATCCTAGCTCAACAGGATGTCTCTAAATTGTGGAAGATATCCCACCTGCACCAGCAGAAAGCAGAAGTCTCTAGTCTGTGGCAAGTCTGCCACATAGAGTACCACACAGAGTAAAAAAAAATCACAGTAACTAAGACTGGTAACCATTACCAGTTGAAAAAAATCTAAGATACTAAGTGATTTTAAGACTACTGAATCAGATTTTGATGTCTCAGAATTTAAGTTGTCATTATCAGAAATACTTAATACCTTTAGTTTAAGCTCTAATAATAGCAGACAGGATAACATATACAGATATTCTAAATATTAATAGAAATAAGCACACATTGGGCATGGTGACAACTGTAATCCGAAAGCCTGGACAACTGAGGAACAATGCCATAGCCATAGTTCAGGGCCACTTTGGGTTACAGCAGAAAGCCCTGTCTCAAAACCATCACAAAAGAAATGACCAATAAACCACATTTATCTTCTTGCTGTGATTTTAGGAAGTTATAGGCAAAAATATTTTTATAATCACTTCACTACAAAAATAAGACATTACATGTCCTCAAGGTTGAAATAAAAGACCTAACGGCAATGAAGGCCTGCTCTTTGCAGGAAGCTAGACCATCTGACTCAGGGTACCCATGGAACATTAATTCCTGGAGAGACAGGATTGAGGCCTTCCGTGCAAATGGAACAATTAGTTTGTTCAAACACTACAAAACTTCAAATTTCTTTACGGCCATGTTATAGAATGAAATAGCAACCCCCCTCAAAACTGAATAGTACACATAACTAAAAAGGAATACTAAGAGCCAGGCAGTGCTGATACACACCTTTAATCCCAGCACTTGGGAGGCAGAGGCAAGTGGATCTCTGAGTTCCAAGCCAGCCTGGTCTGCACAGCAAGTTCCAGGATAGGCTGGAGAGAAACAAAGCTATAGAGAAACAAACACTGTCTTGAAAAACAAAACAAACAAAAGGAACAGTAAGAAAATTACCTTAGAAAAATCTGGTTTTACTGGTGGATTTTCCCTTAATTCTGTTTCAGTATATTCATTATTTACATAGTAGCCAACTCTAATAAATTCTTGACCTCGATAGGTACAAGTAATTAGCACAACTGTTACCCCCACTGCATCTGCATCTGGAATGAGTCCTGGATTTGGTGCATCAGCCTAGAAAAATTTAAAAAGAAACACAAAAAGTCTGTTAGTGGCAGGTACAGTGAACGAGTTTCAATTACTTGAGCACTACTTGAAATCACATTGTGGGGGAAATGTTTTTTTATTAATTTATTTATTTTTAGCTTTTAGAAACAGAATCCTACTATATGGCCCTGGCTGGCCTGTTACTCACTGTTCAACCCAAGCTGACTACTAATTTATATGCAATTTTCTCACTCTGCCTCCTGAGTGCTAGAATTTCAGGTGAACAGCACCATACCACCACATGTTCTTTGGTGGGAAATCAGCTTATACCTAAACAAATAAGGTCCCCATTTCTGTGTATTAGTCCTGGGTACCCTTAGTACTTTGCAAGCATAGTTATAACTAAAGAAGGAAATAATTCTGGTTTTGCTGTATGATGATTAATTATGTAATATATTATAAAATTCATTGTTTATAGTCAAATCAATTATTGTAATGATTCTAACCTTTTGCAGTCCTAACTTTCAGTCCCAAGTAACTATGTATCAAATTAATTTCACAGAACTTATTCCAATAAATGTTTATCCTATTAGTTTCCATCTCTATCGGGCACATCCAGGTTCTTTATATCTAGTCAGCCACCTTTTGCAAATACTTCAGTAGTAAACTATATTAAAATGACAACTCAATTCAATCCCTAGAACAACTAAGTAAGTAGTAAACATAAATAATGAATAAAACTGACACTGGGTCTTAAACCAAAGAGCAAAGCATATTGTAAATAGTCACTTGGTTGGACACTACATATAGTATACTGTTTGAGCCACATACACTGGAAATTCAGTGCAGGCAAAGACTGTTTAAATTTTGAATCATGGTAAACCTTGAGGAATGAAGAAAGTTAAAACAATAGAACGAGAACTAACTAAAGATACCAGACAAGGCTGGAGCCATGCCCACAGTAATGAGCAAGATGGCAGAGACTGACTCAATGGAGAAGAACCACAAACTAATAAGACAGTGATGGTGAGGCATCTGAGTACAGCCTGAAACAGCCATTCTGTGTGGTAAACGAATGAAACTCTAGCAAAATAGTTTACTGTTTTCCAGCACCAAGGAACATCCTTTGCAAACAAACACTTAACTTCTGTATATGCTTTAGCTCAGAAACTGTTAAAATTGTTAATTATATAGCCCAGCAGTGGTGGTGCACTCCTTTAATCCCAGTACTCAGGAGGCAGAGGCAGGTGGATCTCTGTAAGTTTGAGACCAGCCTGGTCTACAGAGATAGTTCCAGGATAGCCAATGCTACACAGAGAAACCCTGTATCAAAAAACCAAAAGACTGATATATATATATATATCATGCAGCCAACACTAAAAACCATAAAAATTCATGAAGACTAAAAATCTCAGTCAACTTAAGCTTTTCTTATTCTATTACCTTGTCGCTCTCGGCATCTCATTTCTAAAGGCTGGGAGTTAGTCTTCATCTCTTATGCAAAATACTGCTAAGTTTTCTAACTTGTCTCAGTTCTAGCTTGTTATTTATGACTTATATTGCTGCCATTTAAACATGAATCTCTTTCTATTCCTGAGATGCTATAGTTGCTTCTCTAGGAGATAAACATCTTTAATTTCATTTATAAGGCTCTTCCCACTTTGTAACCTCACCTGTGTGTGTATGAATAACACATTCTGTGTGATGTGCTGGAAACCTTTCATGCCTCTGCCTCAAACAGTACCCCTGGCTATAAAGTTCCTTCCCCACATCCTGCCAGATTTATCTCTTGATATTTTCATTAAACCTACTTTCCAAGCAAAGTTCTTTTTGATACAGAAGGTAGCAGTGTCCCCTTTTTATGTGTTTATATTAATTGACACAATCTCCTAATCTATGTCTTAACAATCTAAATGCAGCTATAAGAATTTATTATTTTAGAGTTTTATCATTACTCAGTTCCCGTCCTAATAGGGTTTATGATCCCTTTGGACAGACACCAAGGATAAAGCAGACCCTCTCCGGTAGATTATACCCTTTGTCCTACAATTTTATTCATCCAGGGGTTACTTTCAGGGTATCCAAAGGGTTTCTCATATACCTGGAAATGGGGGATTATGGGAAAGAGTTCAGTAATGTTCCTATCACCCAGCAAATTAGTTGTAGCTGTGTCTGTTGCTAGAGGATTCACCTTGAGCAAATTTGGGTCAAGAAATGTTTATACCTTTCAGGTAATTAAGGATGGAAAAGTGATGGGGGCCACTTTTGTTTACCCAATCCTCAATACTGGGCAGATGTCTAGATATCTCCGGGCTAGTCTTAGACCCACTCATAAGAAAACAGCAGACCAGGAAAATAGGACAGTTTGCTCATAATACAAAACAAAAAGTGTACCTTAGTTTCTTTTTGTTAATAACTGTCAGACTTTGAAAATTGCCTAGACTAACACATGACCTCAAAGTGCTTTCTCTGTTCTTTTTGGCAACATTTACACTGATACCAACAAAAGCTACATACTGCTATGAGATTTTCCTCACAGCACCATATCAAGCCAAAAGCTTAGTGGTATTCTTAACATAAGCACAAAAAGATTCCCAAAGGCTCACTCCAAAATCAGCAATACAAAGGGTATGTATGACTATACATTAAGGTGAGCTTCTTTTACTACATTGTGACTTTTCAGTACAGTATAATCCCCAGGCTTATGGGTGCAAACAAATTCTGCCTCTTTATATAATGAGAATAAAATAATAGTCTTAATTAACTACAGATGTAGCTTGTCAGTAATTTGCTAATTGCCTTATTCCTTCTAACATTATTATGAGGTGGTTCATTAGTGAGGTCACATATCTTCGTAAGCAGAAGGATCAGGCATGCCTGAGACTGCAATGCTTCCTTAGGCACTCTGTGTTGCTATGGCTTTCACAAGGTTACACACAAACACACACACACACACACAAACACACACACACACACACACACACACACACACACACACAAACACACACACACACACACACACACACACACACACACACTCACTCACTCACTCTCGGTTTAATGGCACTTTTAATTAAAGTATTACATCCTTTAGATTACTGTAGTTGACTCTTTCTTTGCCATGTTTATATACACTAAATTATTTGAGGTTTGCTAACAGCAAACCCTCAGTCCCAGCTCCTCAGTTCTGTATCTAAGAGGTAGCTTCTCTACAGTGTGCTCTTAAGCAACCCCCTCACCCATTTCTAAAGGATTTCTTCAAAACGAGTATTCGCTGAAACTGTCCTGTCTGTGAAGGGAGAAACAGAGGTCAGGGACAGGAAGTAGATTTTTGTTCTGGATTCTGCCTGCAGTAAGACTTGGTTGGTTAGGTAGAAATACTTCTAACAAAAATTAATAGTTATTTAAAAGCTAACTCATTACTCCTTGCAGTATTATAAATAGCTTCCTCTAAGAAGCATGGATAATTGAAAATAGTCACTAGTTTAATATGGCAATTTAATATAAAGTAAGAGAAATAACAGTTATACAGAAGATAATGTCTCAAGCTTAGGCACAGACTTAAATACTGTCAGACGTATTTAAGAACATGATTTATATTCGCAGAAATCATACTCTCAAGTTCTAACGGGTAATGGACATGTCACAGCAGTCCTCTATAAAAACCTAGATAAAGCAGCTTCAGTGAAGCGCCAGACTTTAATCCCAATGGCTCAAGTCACATCTGCTAACATTTCTTAGCCTTGCAGTTACTATGTCAAAATGAGGTTGTTGAAATTACATCAGCAGGCGAGTATTACTAACTAGCACACCATCTGAATACACATTTGGGGATGCTTTCATCTTGAAGAACTACTCCACAGGACAAACCCAAATCAATCTTGTGAGCGCCACAATACAGTTTAAGGTGTATTGTGGTCTGACTAGTTACCAATAGTAAAGACATTAACATCTCTGCACACAGTCTCAAGTACAGAACTCCTTTATGACAGATACTGCCTGAAACAGAGCAGACTAAAAGTGGGAGTAGACGAAGTAAAATTACTTAACATAAAAAGGATCAAGAGCTCTGAGATCATTTAGTCTATTAGAAACTGTAGTGATATTTTGTTCATGATCTAACAAATAAAGCTTGCATGAAGATCAGAGTGCAAAGCTAACCACACTAGTTAGCCATAGAGAGAGGCCAGGCAGTGGTGGTGCATACCTTTAATTCCAACAATCGGGAGAGAGAGGCAGAAGGATCTCTGTGAGTTCAAGGCCATGAGATTGAATCTATCTAAAAGAAAAACAGCTCACACAAAGGTAATCTCAGCACTCGGGATCCCACACCTTTAATCCCAGCTCTAGAGAAGAATATAAAATGGGAGAGACAGGAGCTCATTTAGCAGTCTGAGGAGCAGTGCAGTCTGGAGATGCAATCAAAGGACATGATCGCCCCTTTGGTCTGAATATTGGTAGAGGTTAGAACACTCTAGTGGCTGGCTGCTTTGCTCCTCTGGTCTTCAGGCAAGCTTTATTTGTTAGATCATAAACAAAATATCACCACAAGACACATATTTGACATATACATTTTAAGAGTAATCTTACCTGAAAAACAAACATATGCCTTCCTGCAGGAACGGGGCCCACTAAAACAGAGTCTAAAACTTGATCGTATTCTTCACTTTCGGCAGAGCCCACATAGATAATTTTCCACTCCAAGTCTAGGGTTAAAAACCAAAAGCATTATTGTATTTATCAATAGCAATTATATTAACAGATGATAAAGTCCTCATCTAGAAAGATATGGAAATGTTCCTTATGAATTTCTTACCAGAATTCCTGTTTCATTCCAGTAACCTTTCCAAATTCTCTTTCATGAAGCTCTTGTCCTTGGAGAGGGCTCCTCCCAAATAAAACCTGAACAAAACCTGGGGAAATGCTAAGTTTCCCCAAGTACTCATAAAGCAAATGGCACAGTACTCAGAGAGCTCCTCAAAGAATACCTGGAACACTAATCCCACTGCCCAGGTGATTTACTGTGCAGTCTCCCAGGCTTGCCTCACCACTGAGGAAAGGCTGCCCTGTGAAAGAGAAATCAACACAGAACCCAGAGTGGGAAATGGTCAGCAAACCTTACTTGTGGTTCAGAAGTAAGGGGCTTCATCATCTGATGTAAATTTGTCAGGCTGTTATCTCCTCCCTCTTGCTGGCTGAAATAACTGATGGTTTATACTAACTTATAGTTACCACTGATACATATTACCACTATTCCAACTGTAGCTAAGGATATAGTGGAGCTGTTTCTTCCTTTCCTCCATACATTCTTAAAACCACAAGAGGAAACCAAGATCCTTACACCTCCTCAACCAGCAGGGACATGATACACTCAAGTACAACCTGAGACTTGGCTTGTGATTCAATCTAGATTTCATTAAGCACCATTTTAGAAAAGTCTATGGAGAACAGAGAGGCATAAAACCATTTCTTTTTGAAGGAATCTGTTCTTTAAACAAGGGTGAAGATGACAGATATCTCCTAAGGTGTTGAGCATGTGTGGTCTATGTTTGGCTTCATTAGTGAGACTATACTAAGCATCCCCTAAGAGACTGTTTCAACAACTGAGGATGGAGACTATGGTGGTGTGGTTCACTATGGTGACCATGAGGGTAAAGTAAAGCACTATATCCTAGGTAAAAAGTCTGGGGATGGAAGCAGCAGTAGGCACTCTCTTTTTCCTTTTGGGTATAAAGGAGAAAATAATCAGGAGTTAGTTTTATACGTGTTTGGAATGTCTAGTAGATGTTTCAGTGTGGATACAACATAGGCCCGATCTTAAAGAATAGAAAATAGGCAATAATACATAAAGACAAGGAAAAGAATGGGATTCCTAAGCACTGAGCCTATGGACTCTCCAAAAGATCGGGAAGATGAAGAATCAATTAAAATATTAGGAGCTATTGGCCAATGAGGGAAGTGATCCAAAAGCTAAATGAAGAAACTAAAGAAGGGTATATGAAAAGCTACTAAGTGACCTAAAGTATTCGCATGGGCTTTGTCACTTTACAAAAATGCTTTATTATACAGATAGATCATTCAAGCACACACATACTGTACATGTGTTATATAAACAAGAAAGCTGAGACTGGGAGAAGCTAAGTAATTTACTAAAAATTCACGTTGCTTACAGATCAGAATTAGAATTCAAGTTGGGCTGCTGCTACTCAAAAGCCTTGGCTTTAAAATAAATACAAGTAACTGGGTAAGTTCTGCCCCTTTCTAGCTGTGAACTAATGAAATTAAAGAACACAGAAGGTGGGTAAAAACTGGCAGTGGAGAGCTAGATAATCCAGCCTCAGTAAGTACAAGCAGTAACTCAAGAAGGGGCACACACTGGGTTTTAATGCCATCGAATGCTTATTTATTAGTTTGTTTATAAAGCCAGTTTTCCTTTCTGAGTTTAGGAAGTTAAGGATAAGTCCTGTGGCACTACAAGTTACTAGCTGGAATTTACTCACTTATTTAAAAAGTTAACTTTTCTATTTAATCATGGTAATCCCAGACAGAAAGTATTTCCATGTGTGATGAGAGGTGTGTTATCCAGAAAATTTTAAGTTAATTACACTGTTGGGAATCTGTAGTCTAGGAGAAAGTATAAAGTCTTTGCAATCAGAATAGGCCTGAACTTTTAAAATATAAAGCCACAGGCTCAGTTTTGGTACACTGCAAATATTAAACCCTAGAAATTGTAGGGAGGCTAATCAGACTTGTACAGGCATAGCAATGGGGGCATGATAAAGCCCCTACTTAGATCCCTTAAAAATTTTAAAGCATTTATTGTGTTTATGTATGTATATGGGCACTAATGTGGAGGTCAGAGGACAACTGGTTGGAGTCAGTTGTCCCTCTACCATGTGGATTCCGGTGTCGATCTCAGGTAGTCAGGCTGAGTAGCTAGTAGCTTTACTGGCTGTGCCATCTATCTCACTGGCCTTTACATCCCACTTTTTAATGTGCTCTACTCTTAGAAGCCCAGTATAAGAAATAACTGTTTCAACCTTAGAGCAAATACTACTCAAGGCTTCTGAAGCAAAGCTACAGGGCAGCTTTTAAAGGAAAATTAAAATAGTTGAAGATGATTGATGAGCATAACAAATGGTGGCTAATCTGTAGGTTGGGGGTAGACCCAAATTATAGACTCAAAATTCCCTTCGAAGGATTTTGTAGTTTGATTTTAAGAATTAAAAAAAAAAAAAAATCACAGTACAACAGAAGTATGGAACCTAGAAAAGAGCTTTTGCAAAATAAGTCAACTCCATTTCCTTACTCCACACAGCCTCTAGATGGAGTACACAGAAATGGCACCTTTTTGAAAGATTCCTTTGCAGCTTTGGAATGACTCAGCTTAAAATATCCTAAAATAATGGTGCCCTGGTTTTGAAGGGTACTAGAGGTAAGGGTATTCTTGACATGAGAGTGATACCATTGATGTGAAAGGACCCCAGTTTAAAACGGAACCTCACTTGGTTTCTGTGGATGGCTGGTTTCGAACTATCCTGTAGAGCCACCCTATAACAATATCCTAGATCATGTCTTCCTTGCACAAAGTTGAATCCTAAAATGGAAGCCATCGCTTGAGAAATACCTGTAATATGAAGAACTTCTAATGCCTAGAACACACTGCTATTGGGATAGAATGGACTCACCCATGCTTTTTTCTTTATCTTTATATATAAATTGGCAGTTAAGAAGAAAAACCAATGTTGTGTTTGGAAATGGGTCTGGTGTGGAAATGCTTTTACTAATACTATCGGACAGTAACAAATGGAGTTTTAAGCAAAACTTACCCTCAACCTTACATCACCACAGCCTATTAGGAGACTACTATATTCTAATCATGAGTCATTCTTCAAAATATTTCCTACATACTAAATTTTTGTGCATTTATACTTTATATAAGTATTAAAAACAACAGAGGGGTACATTTTAAAGTGATGGTGTGGTTAGCTAAAAGAATGGGTGAAAGAGCTGTGACTTCCTTTTCCAACTTTTTAAAGTTTATTGCAACGGGCATATATTGGTTTTATAATTAAACTTAACATCCTACATAAAGTACACTGTGGGGATTTAAAACTTTTAAATGAAAAGAAAAATTCTTTCCGTCATGGTGAGGATAATACTCTTAAAGGCATTTTTACGAAATACTTCCAGGTCCCAAGATGTCCTCCTAACTAACTTAAATTAACACTGATGAAGTTATTACACTTTTTGTTTCAAATTTTGAAAATGAAGCACTGGTTTTACTAAAAGCCTAAGAAAACTGATGATAATCCCTCATTGTAGCTTTCTAAATCCTGTATTCCTTCACTATTTTGCATTTTTTTTAAACCGCAAAACGTACTTCAGAAAAGACTTTGGCTTTTATTCCCTAGCCAACGTCCGTATTTTCTCTATCCGCCTGGCCGTGGAGTTATTTTAATTGCATCTTCGTACGTTCTGGGGAAAGTCTTGGAGACTTTTTAGAAGCCAGTACCGGGAATTGTTGCAGCGCCCAGCTTTGGCTCTTGGGCAGGGTGGAACTTCCTAGCCCCGCACCGTTTCAGAGAGATTTCCGTCCTCCTGGAGAGGCGTCCACACTGCTGGGGAGCCTGCGCG